CAAGTAGATCTTGCGATTACAGAGCCCATAAGAGCATTTGGGAGAACTGGCGGCGATCGAAGCACGGCGACGATACGGCGTCACGGCGTGCACGGCGGCAACTAGACTATATCTTGCTGAGCCAGGAGAGACAGGCGCGATTACAGAGATCCCTAGAGCAGCCCGATCATGGTTAGCAAGTAGCTCTTCGGGATTAGTCTCACGTAGCAGACTCTATAAAAAAAAGTTCAAAAATAGTCGATGAACTTAATATAGACTTCGGGATAACAAAGCCTATACTATCGATCACCGACCTTTGTAAAAAAATATTGATGGTAATGCTACACCCGCAATTCATGTCGGATGGGGCTCGGAATCAACAGCCAGCATCATCACTACCGAAAGATGTTGAACCCCGAGTTGTTAAAGCTTTGGGGTCGAATTGAGGCGGCAGTGAAGTTGCCGAGCCAGCCATCAAAATCACCTACGACTCAATTCGTCTCCACATTCTCTAAAAAAATACTGTTAAATTCCTGGGAACCAGAAGCATCCCGCGTATTATATTTCGAGCTGATTGAGGCAGTATTTATGTCACAAAGTCATTTGCAAAGATAGGTAATTTTGCAAAGGTGGTGATCGACGTCATAATAATATTTCTATCATAATTGCGAAAAACAAAAGCATCCAAGAAAGTAAAGAGTGTCCAGCGTCAGGTAAGTATAATACAAAGCGTACAAAAGGTGGGTAGGTATAGTATAGTAGTCGATCGTATTAGTCAATATTCTTCACCTCCTGCTCACCCGCCCAACTACGCACCCGACGCACTCATTTTTCAACGGCCAGCAGGGCGCATCCTGCGCGCCACCCCCCCTTGCGCACCACCCACAACGCACTCACGGCCGTATACTATCATACGTCGGCGGAATCTCGTGCATCCCCGGGCTCTCGTCCTCCGTGGGCACACGCCCCCCATCCTGGTGCACCACCACCCCGCTCCCACTCCCGCTCGCCCCCGCGTGCGGGGTGGGCGGTGTATGCCTTCCGAACGCGCCTGCAAAGCAAAGAGCACCGAATCAGCCAACGCGCTCTGCATAGAAGGGAGAGCCCCAAAAGAAAGAAAGAAACGCACCCGCACCCTGCGCCTCATCCCCCGGATTCGCGACCCCCAGCCCGCCCCACATCCCGCGCGCCTCCCTTTCCTCGCGCACCTCCCGTTCCTTCGCGCTCATCGGATTCTGGAAGCCGCCCGCGCCGGCGTACGCCGCGCCGCCCGCCGACGACGCGGGATGCCCCCCGGCGGACGACGCGGGATACGACGACGCAGGGTACACCGACGACGGCGCATACCCACCGCTCGTCTCCGCGGAGAGCGGCCTCCCCCCCGCGGACGCAGGGTACCCGCCCGACGACCCCGCGCTCGACAGCGTCTGCCCAGGCGGGTAGTACGACGACGGCGACAGTGGCGCCTCGCTCGACTGCTGCTGGCTCGAGCCCGTGTAGTGCTGCTGTTGGTACGCCTGCTGGTCCGCGTAATGCTGCGGCGCATACGGCTGCTCCCCATAATGCTGCTGGTGCGGATATGCGGCCCCCGCGCCGACGCCGGCCATGAACGGCGTGACGACGCCCCCGCCCACGCTCGTCCCCGCAAGCCGCCCGCCCACCCCGTCGTCCTCGTCCTCCGCCCCATTCGCGCTCCGCCGCCGCATCCCCATCCCCATCCCGCCCGTCTCGCTCATCGGCGTCAGCCCCGTGCCCCCGCCGCCCCCCACACCCCCCATCACGGGCAGCGTCGCGCCCCCCACGATCCGGCCCGGGTCGAAGTTCCCGTCAAACTCCGCCTCGCGCTTGCGCTCGCGCGCGCGCTTGGTGAAGAACCACACGAGGAACACGATGACGAGGAGCAGTGCGACACCGCCGACGACGCCGCCTGCGATCGCGCCCGTCTTGCTGTTGTTTTTGGTTACGGGTGTGACGGAGGGTGGGGGCTGGGAGATGGTTTGGCCGGCGTGGAACGTGGTTGTTAGCTCAATGGTGCGTGTGAAGGGGACGCCATCGGATATAGAGCTGGATGCGGAAGAAGAGATTAGCGTTCCGTTCTGTGGGAGGGGGTAGGGGAGAGAGGTGGTATGTAGGTAATAAGAGGAGAGAATTTTGAAAAAAGAGCTTAAGAAAAGAAAAAAATGAAGAAAGAGGAATAAAACGGGAGAGCCGCAAGACAAACCGACGGCGTCCTCCACATTGAGCGCAGGGGCTGGGTCGGAATCACTCTGCACCGCACCCCGCCAGACGTGAAGCAAGCAAGAACTCGGGCAGAAAACCCGGCCACACCCGACGAATACCGCGATTCGCAAGAGGGAACAGCGTCCGCCAGGTGCGATGCAGGAATAGCGCCCCGGTACATATACACATTCGCACCGCGCCCAAACCAACGCCCCCGCTCCACGCGATCCGCACAATCGTCAATCTCCACCCCAAACTGGACTCCCGGCGAGGTCCCTAGTAAATAACCCCGCCACCTGCCAGCTCGGAAAAACACCCGCCCCCCACCACCACCGCCGATGACGTCACCGCGCCCGCCCTGCGCCTTCGAGTCCGCTCTCAATCCTCGACACCACTGCGCACACACAGGACATTCGGGAGCGCGCACAGAGAGACCCCCACGCCATACGCCCCAGTAAGTGGGCGGGAAAAGAAAAATGCGTCCCACGAATAGGACGCCACGCCGCCCACTCTTCCTCTCTTGCCTCGCCTCTCCTCCCGCCCAGCCTCGCGGCGTAGAAGAACAAAAAAGAGGGTGGACATGGTTCGGGAGACGGAGAGGGGAGGGCAACTCGCGAAAAGTGCTATAATCGCGCGGCGCAGAAGAGCGCTGTAATCACACGGCGGCGCAGGAGACACCACCACAATCCGCTACGTAGCGGCGCGAAAAGGGTAAAAAGCTGCCTCCCTCCCTCCGCCATTCCACACCCTTCTGCGCGTAATGGCCCAGCAGGTATCCATTCGCATAAGCGCGGAAGGAAGGAAGGCGTGCCGTACCGTCGCCGTGAAGTGCCGCGGCTAGGCATGCGATGAGGGGGCGTCACGCAAGCGCCGAGGCGGGCTGCCCGTTGGCGCCGCGTCGGGCTGCACGTTAGCGCCAGCCCGCAACACGCATGCGCGGAAGGGCACCACGCGCGCACACGTCTACGCCAGCGCCGGGGCGGGCTTGACTTCACGGCAGCCCACAACACGCGAGAGGTCGCTCTGCGCAGAGCCAACGGCACCAACGCCAGGAACTGGACTCGGGCCAGCGGGCTCTGCGCACTGGAGTCAGGCTAGTTGGCGTCATGGCCGCGCCTCCCATCAAGACCACGTTACGCGCTCCCAAGCGCGGAGCGCATGGGATATCCGCGCGGTTGATGCCCTTCCTGCTCCACGGGGCCGAGCAAAGGAGTGACCGCACCACGGGCCGCGATGGCTGCCGCACCACGGCGACGCAAGGAGCGTCATATACCACAGGAAAGAGTATCGTACGATTCGTACCGTGGGGCCGAGCGGGTCGGTTTCGGCCACTCATCGCGTGAAGGAATCTAGAAACGTCCTGGGTACTTGATAGGAGAGCACCCGAGGTGGAGGCGGAAGCGGAGCCAAAAAAAAAAAAAATTGCTCCACAAGCCGAGGTACGAAGCTGCAGGAGTGAACACGGAGCAGCGCGAGAACGAAACGAAACGAAATACAAAATGCACAACACGAGAATGCCCCCAACGCAAAGAGGAGTAGCGAAAGAGGAGGGGGGGGGAAAGGAGAGCAAAGAAGAGCGGAAACTCACACAATGACGCTCTGGCCGACGCTGACGCTGTCGCTCTGGAGAACGCTCTGGAGAACGCTCTGGCTGGTCGAGGTGATGGTGCTGCTGCTGGTCGGCGCGCTACTGCTGGTCGGGGGCGCGGACGAGGCGGAGGCGGAGTTCGAGGCGGAGTTGGAGTTGGACGCCGAGTTGGAGTCGGCTGGTCAAGCGTAAGTTCGGTGCGCGTGGTAGAGTTGTGAGTTGGACGATATTCGGTGGAGTTGTAGATGATATGCAAAGAACAAAAAGTCAGTAACGCCAACAACGCCTCGAAAAACACAAAAAAAAAGAGAGACCAGAGCTAGACGGCGCGCTGGGGCTCTCTGGCGACGGTGGAGCGCTCGAGGACGACATCGCGTGCCAGCAGCAGTGAATCTACGACCTAGCAGCAGGCAGCAGGCAAGGAGATAGCAACAGATAGCAGGACGCCCAACGCGAGGCGGACGTCGCAAATTTAGCACAACGGACGCCACCCTAATTATGCAATACGCAGATTAACCGTTAACTGCCAGCGCTCCGTCCTGACGTACGCCGCAAAAATTATGAGTATCAGGCAGGGAGGGTACGCACAGGACATGATTATTTCGCGGTAGGTTGTGTGCGGGGTATAGTGGTGGGACGACGGAGGAGGTGGAGTGGCCTTGTGGAGTGAAGCGCAATGAGCAGGGAGGATCTCTGCGATCAGACTCCCACGTGCGGAGTGCTGACATGACCGGAGCCGGGTGCCTGGTTGAAATTGGATTCTGTCTCAAGTCTGTCAGGAACAGCGGCATGAATGAAAGGAGCTGTCGATTGGTATAGATCGGGCGTCGGGCTTGGCATGGAGGGGCTTTGTGCTATACAAATATGCCGAGTCTAAACCACGCAAAAAAAAAAAAAGGGTTCACTGTTCAGGGGGAGGTACAGAGGTTAATATTAGTAGTAGGGCAGACTCAGATCTCAGCGTTTCATATGGTTTGAGATTCAACATCTGCAAAAAATCTGCAAAAACTTCTGGATCGACTCATCCTTCATTCAAACGCGGGGAGTCGAACCCCAACTTGCCATTATAGAATCGTTATCTCGTTTAAAGTTGACGTTTTACAGGCCGTGCACCATGCACCACATCCGAGTACTTGCTCTACTATTTTCCTCAGCAAAGGTCCAATTTTTCAAATACTGGCAAGAAAAAAAACACTCAATTCGAACGCACAGATTCGAACGCGGGGAGTCGAACCCCATCCTGCCTTTGATATCAATGTCCCAGAATCGCATTTGTTAAGGCCGTGCACCATACACTACGTTCGAGTACCTGATCTATTCTGGTCCTGAGCATAGGTCTAATTTTTTAAATGCCGACAAGGCAAAAATTGTAGCACAGGTATTCAAACGCGGGGAGTCGAACCCCGACTTGCCTTCGATATTGTACTCACAAGTTATGAGTCAAGGCAGTGCACCATACACCACGTTCGATTATTTGCTCTACTGTGGTCCTTAGTAAAAGTCTAATTTTTAGACACAAAACCTTATAGAAAGGGAAATGATTCGAACGCGGGGAGTTGAACCCCGTCCTGCCTTTTATAGAATTGTTACAGTGTCACCAATACTCTTAGAGGCCGTGCACCATACACCACATCCGAGTACTTGCTCTACTATTTTCTTCAGCAAAGGTCCAATTTTTCAAATACTGGCAAGAAAAAAAACACTCAATTGAACCTGAAGCCTCATTCGAACACGGGGAGTCGAACCCCGTCCTGCCTTTGATATCACTGTTTCAAGCCCCCATTTGTTAAGGCCGTGCACCATACACCACGTTCGAGTAATTGCTCTACCTCGTCCTTGGCCATGGTCTCATTTTTTAGACGCTGGCTGGCCAACAAAAAATAACACCCAACGGATTAATTCGAACGCAGGGAGTCGAACCCCGGCTTGCTTTCAACCTTTGTTTGACCTACAGAAAGATGAAAGGCCGTGCTCCATACACCACGTTCGAGTATTCCCTCAAATTCGTTCTGGGCCAAGGTCTGCTCTTTTAGATGCACAAGGAAAACATTGCGCCGCAAATATTCGAACGCGGGGAGTCGAACCCCGACTTGCCTTCGATATTGTGATCCAGACTACCGTCATGAGTCAAGGCAGTGCACCATACACCACGTTCGAGTACTTGCTCTACTATGGTCCTGAGCATAGATCTAATTTTTTTTAAATGCTGGCAAGGAAAAAAATGTGCGCATGTATATTCGAACGCGGGGAGTCGAACCCCGACTTGCATCCAATAATCTCTCATGATCCACATAAGATAAAAGGTCCTGCACCATACACCACGTTCGAGTACTTGCTCTTTGTCGTCCTTAGCCAAGGTCTAACTTTTTCGATGCACAAGGAAAAAAATACTCAAGTGTCCACTTGATTCGAACGCGGGGAGTCGAACCCCGACTTGCCTTCGATATTGTGATCCCGACTACTAGTACAGTCATGAGTCAAGGCAGTGCCACCATACACCACGTTCGAGTATTTGCTCTACTATGGTCCTGAGCATAGATCTAATTTTTTTAAATGCTAGCACGGAAAAAAAAGCTGAAATCAGATCATTTGATTCAAAATTATCATCCTCCGACGATGGCACAGACGGTACGCACTTGTATTCTTATATCTCTGCATCAACGAAGTCCCTTCTCCCGCATAGGTTTCACAGAGTTCGATCGGGATTTGCACTGCTATTCGCCGTCTATGTGAGGTACGTAGGCGCGCACTACTGACATTTCTGATATTACGGCGCGCGGGAATATTTATACAATTTGAACAGCATACGTGCACCATACAGTACTTTTTCTCCTTGAGTCTTTGCCCGTAGTCTCGATTATTATTATTATTTCCCTCCAATATATATATAGATATATGAAGCGGATCACCTCGGCACTGTCGGACTTTGATCGCAATCTGTCAGGGTTGTCAACGACGGAATGTCAGAGCTTTGCTGTGATGCTAGGTTAACGCTGATGCTAGGGTGCTTCTTCCCCGCCCCGGGAAGCTCGTTACTTTCTTATCCATTGGTTTTCCAGCCGTTTCAATTTGGGGCCATGCGCCCTGAGCAATCCCCCTCCTTCAGCGCGCGGTCTGTGATGCGCAATCTCCCAGGCGTCTGCAGCACCATCATGTTCCTCCTGGTTACCAGGTAGGTAGATAGGTAGTAGGTAGGTATTACACGGCATACTACAGGTGTTATGTGAATGTGCATCCCACAGATGAAGTTTCATATCAAATATCGTCGTATCTTACTCAGGGTATAAGAGGAGGATGTTGCAGGTGAAACTCGAAGTTCGCCTCACCTTTACATAGTTACTCCGCTTGCGACCCTTAGCCACAATGCCCTTCTCGGCGGCGCAAATGTGAGTCTCTTCGACTCTAATAATGGGTGTCGTCGATGTGCAAACCTTATCACTCAGGGTTGTACCGATTGTATGCAAGTTTCCATCCTACTTGGGATCCTAATCTAATCGCTCATTCAAGTTCGTCGGGACTATCCTCAATTGGACGCTGTTCGGCACTCTCTTTGTTCAAGTCTGCAAGTCACAACGTTACACAAAAATCTCGGTTCCAAGCTGATGCAACACCCTCACAGATCTGTACTTCATCGCATTTCCCGCAGACCGAAGGTTCACCAAGATTCTTGTGGCGTTCGTTTTCGCCGCGGAGATCCTGCATACCCTGACGGAAACCCGGAAAACTGTCGAGATCTTCGGAACTGGCTGGGGGAATCAGGACCTCTTTGATGACGTCGGTTGGGCCTGGTTCAGTGTCCCGGTTGTCGGTTCAACAAGTGAGCCCCGTTCCTATTCTTTCAAAATGGTTTGCCCTTACATTTCTCCGTGACCTAGTCGCCACTGTGTGCCAAAACTTCTTTGCATATCGTATCTATATCCTGTCCTCCAAGATATGGATCCCAGGCATAATTGCAATAGTGACACTCTCTTCTTTCCTATCTAATTTCAAAGCTGACCTCGCATTCCAGCTCACAATTGTGCAGATTGGTTCCGGAATCTGGAGCGGCGTTCAGGTCTACAATGCACATAAATTCTCCGCGGTTAGAGACACACTGAAGACAACCGCAGTTCGTTGGGTTGTAAAGACGACAGTAATATACTAAATTGTGTATTCTTCAGGTTTGGCTGACCGTATCCGCCGCATGCGACCTGATAATTGTTGTTGCTACGGTGCTGTGCCTCGCCAAAGAAAGGAACCCGGAATTCCGACGTCAAACCAATGTTACTATCTCGCGCATTATCAGGGTAAGTAGCGGCCTCAGACAGACCACTCTGAGCGTTGATCAATGTTTTTTCAGCTCGCAGTGGAGACGGGCGTCGTCTGTGCCATATTCGCCCTCTTGGACCTTGCCTTGCTCGCAAAATTCAAGAATAACTACCATTTGGCGGTGTGCATGCCGCTGTCCAAAATTTACTCGAACAGCATCATGGTGGTAAGTTGCAATAGCTTTTCTTCTTTTTCTCCCAATCACCGGCTGAATAAATTAAATCAACAGATCCTCAACTCTCGAGCCTACATTCAATCGAGCAAGCCCGACGATGCCAATGCCACCTGGAAGCTTTCAAACATAGTTTCCCAAAGTGAGGCCAAGCCTGCGTCTAGGGGCCAAATAGACACCGACCTCGACACGGTCGGAACTTCCAGCGATGCGGGACACGAGAGGAACCAGTTTAATGTAAAACTCCCCGAGCAGTCTGCTTCATGTGTGTATTCTTTAGGGCCCCAGGCTGTATGATTTTATACATAAGTAGCTGTAACTTATTTAAAGCCTCGTTTTTTCACCTCAGCCTTGGTATCCTATTAAAAATTCATGCTTGGCCAACAAGAGGAGGGAAGGAAGTGCTCCAACATTGTGCGGGGTCCACAGCCTTAAACAATGGGGATAGCTGGAACCTATCGGCAGGACGCTCCCTGTGTTCTGTTGTATTTCTATTTCGGGGTGGGACGTCGAAAATGTGTTGCTTGCCAGCAAAGGATGAAAGGGCAGGAATTATGCAGTGTATGGTGCACGGCCTTGAATCATGTTACTTCGTCCATGGAGAAAGACAAGATGGGGCTCGATTCTCCGCGTTCGAATGGAGCTCTCGCATTAAAACTGAGGCCGTGCCAAGGGGAGAGGAAAACAAAGAAACTACTCGAACGTCGTGAGCGGTGCATGGCTGTGAATCTAGTCAACAGCGGATAAAAATGGCCTGAGCCTCAAAAAATCAACATCGTCGAGGGCAGGTGTAGAGCAAACAATCTAACGTGGTGTCCGGTACACGGCCTTGAACATTCTGTTTGCATAGGAAATGAGGCAAATCGGGGTTCGACTCCCCGCGTTTGAATTAAAAGTCGTTCTTCAGATGCCGCTTATAAGATAATAATGTTGACAATTCCTGATCAGGCGTTATAAATATTTTGTACAAAATTCAAGTATGACAGAAGAATTCGAACCCACAAATCTCACTCGCCACGTTCGCCTCATTAAGCTTGTCATTTTCACCCGATAAAGCATCTATGTTCAATTGTACACCACGGTTGAATTGGTATTTCACAACAGCGTAGACCAAAAAAATAAATCGAAGCCAATGGGGAACTTAGACAAATGAATGGATGGATGGATGTCGGGACCACAAAACGTCAAACCTAAAAGAAGAGGAAGTAAGATACATAACAGACGGATATGCTCGCTCTGAACCTCACCTCAACCTTCTCGGCGGCCATCTTTCAAGATAATTAAATGGTAGACGGCCAAAGAGCATTCTCACACTAAGATATCTGCTCCTCAAGGAGGTTACTCCGTCGGGCCTACTAGTAATCCCGGCTAATCCGTCGCGCCGTCAGCACGCGTGCGCCATATCGGATGCGCCTGGTACGCGGCGCTCGCAGGGTCGAGCAGCGCCTTCACGCCCGGGTCCGTATGGGATTTCCGCGCAGTTGATGCCCCACGGGGCCGAGCAAAGGAGTAACCGCACCACGGGTCGCGATGGCTGCCGCACCACGGCGACGCAAGGAGCGTCATATACCACAGGAAAGAGTATCGTACGATTCGTACCGCGGGGCCGAGCGGGTCGGTCTCGGCCACTCGTCACGCGAAAGAATCCAAAAACGTCCTAGGTACTTGATAGGAGAGCACCCGAGGTGGAGGCGGAAGCGGAGCCAAAAAAAAAAAAAAGATGCTCCACAAGCCGAGGTACGAAGCTGCAGGAGTGAATATGGAGCGCGAGAACGAAACGAAACGAAATACAAAATGCACAACACGAGAATGCCCCTCAAAACGCACAACGCAAAGAGGAGTAGCGAAAGAGGAGGGGGGATCAGGAGAGTAAAGAAGAGCGGAAACTCACACAATGACGCTCTGACCGACGCTGACGCTGTCGCTCTGGAGGACGCTCTGGCTGGTCGAGGTGATGGTGCTGCTGCTGGTCGGCGCGCTACTGCTGGTCGGGGGCGTGGACGAGGCGGAGGCGGAGTTCGAGGCGGAGTTGGAGTTGGACAACGAGTTGGAGTCGGCTGGTTAAGCATAAGTTCGGTGCGCGTGGTAGAGTTGCAAGTTGAACGATATTCGGTGGAGTTGTAGATGATATGCAAAGAACAAAAAGTCAGTAACGCCAACAACGCCTCGAAAAACACAAAAAAAAAGAGAGACCAGAGCTAGACGGCGCGCTGGGGCTCTCTGGCGACGGTGGAGCGCTCGAGGACGACATCGCGTGCCAACAGCAGTGAATCTACGGCCCAGCAGCAGGCAGCAGGCAAGGAGATAGCAACAGATAGCAGGACGCCCAACGCGAGGCGGACGTCGCAAATTTAGCACAACGGACGCCACCCTAATTATGCAATACGCAGATTAACCGTTAACTGCCAGCGCTCTGTCCTGACGTACGCCGCAAAAATTATGAGTATCAGGCAGGGAGGGTACGCACAGGACATGTCTATTTCGCGATAGGTTATGTGCGGGGTGACGACGGAGGCGGAGGTGGAGTGGCCTTGTGGAGTGGGGCGCGATGAACAAGGAGGATCTCTGCGATCAGACTCCCACGTGCGGAGATGCTGACATGACCGGAGCCGGGTGCCTGGTTGAAATTGGATTCTGTCTCAAGTCTGTCAGAAACAGCGGCATGAATGAAAGGAGCTGTCGATTGGTATACATCGGGCGTCGGGCTTGGCATGGAGAGGCTTTGTGCTATACAAATATGCCGAGTCTAGACCACGTAAAAAAAACAAGTGTTCACTGTTCAGGGGGAGGTACAGAGGTTAATATTAGTAGTAGGGCCGACTCAGATCTCAGTGTTTCATATATATGGTTTAAGATTCAACATTTGTAAAAAAAATCTGCAAAAATCGCTGGACTCAATCTCATTCATTCGAACGCGGGGAGTCGAATCCCAACTTGCCATTATAGAATCGTCACCTCGCTTAAAGTTAACGTTTTAGAGGCCGTGCACCATACACCACATCCGAGTACTTGCTCTACTATTTTCCTCAGCAAAGGTCGAATTTTTCAAATAATGGGAAGAAAAAAAAACTCAATTCGACACTCAATTCGACGCGGGGAGTCGAACCCCGTCCTGCCTTTGATATCAATGTCCCACAATCGCATTTGTTAAGGCCGTGCACCATACACCATGTTCGAGAGTACTTGATCTACTCTGGTCCTGGGCATATGTCTCATTTTTAAATGCCGGCAAGGAAAAAATTGCGCCGGAAATATTCGAATGCGGGGAGTCGAACCTCGGCTTGCCTTCAACCTTATTTCACCTACCTAAAGATAAAAGGTCGTGCACCATACACCACGTTCGAATACTTGCTCGTACTTGCTCTTTGTCGTCCTTAACCAAGGTCTAACTTTTTTGATGCCCAAGGCAAAAATTGTAGCACAGGTATTCGAACGCGGGGAGTCGAACCCCGATTTGCCTTCGATATTGTGACCCCGACTACCGTCATGAGTCAAGGCAGTGCACCATACACCACGTTCGAGTACTTGCTCTACTGTGGTCCTGAGCATAGATCTAATTTTTTTAAATGCTGGCAAGGAAAAAATTGCAGTGTGCATATATATTCGAACGCGGGGAGTCGAACCCCGTCTTGCCTTCATTGGTTGTTATACTACTTTCCGAAAGATATAAAGGCTGTGCATCATACACCACGTTCGAGTATTTACTCTACTTCATCCTTGGCTATGGTCGGATTTTCAGATGCACAAAGAAAAAGACTCCATGCAATGAGTCGTCAAATTCGAACGCAGGGAGTCGACCCCGACTTGCCTTTTATAAAATAATGCCGCCTTAATTTCAAGAGGCCGTGCACCATACACCACGTTCGAGTACTTGCTCTTTCTCATCCTTAGCAAGGGTCTAATTTTTAGATGCTAGTAGTAGCAAGGAAACAGACCAAATATGCCATTCAAATGCAGGGAGTCGAACCCCGTCCTGCCTCTGATAGAATCGCAGACTCCACAGCCCTTGATTTTATAGGCCATGCACCATCCACCACGTTAGAGTAATTTCTCTCCCTCGTCCTTAGCAAAGGTGTTGAATTTTCTGACCGCTAGCCTGGCAAAAAACTGTACGAACCCCGATATAATCGAACGCAGGGAGTCGAACCTTGACTTGCCTTCAATACAGTATCACGTTCTCTTATTATTAAGATGAAAGGCCGTGCACCATACACCACGTTCGAGTACTTACTCTTCCCATGCCCTTATCAAAGGTCTAATTTTTAGACTCTGGCTAGGAAAATAACGAGACGGAGAGAAAATTCGAAGGCGAGGAAGTCGAACCCCGGCTTGCCTCACGAGTGGGTATGAAATTTGAAAGGCCGTGCACTGTACACCACGTTCGAATACTCCTTATCCTTTACCTCTGGCCAAGGTCTAACTTTTTAGATGCTTGCAAGAGAAAAAAATACTTAAGTGGACCACTGATTCGAACGCGGGGAGTCGAACCCCGGCTTGCATCCAATAGTTTCTCATGATCCACATAAGATGAAAGGCCGTGCACCATACACCACGTTCGAGTGCTTCTCCTAATTTGTCTGAGCAATGGTCTAACTTTTAAGACGCTAGCAGGGAAAAAAGGTGCGAAACACTGAATTCGAACGCGGGGAGTCGAACCCCGTCCTGCCTTGAATAGAATCGTGACATTTTCACTACCACTTTTAGAGACCGACCACGTCCGAGTACTCCTTATCCCTTCTTCTTTAGCAAAGGTCGAGTTTTAAATGCCAGCAAGAAACAAAAATGTCTTATCGCTCATCTGCATTCGGACGCAGGGAGTTGAACTCCGGCTTGCCCGCAGTAATACATCCTCCTCCTCCTCCTCCTCCTCCTTCTCTGATGACGTAGAGGAAGATAATTTCTGAATATCTCAAGGCTGTGTTCCATACAATACTTGATCTACTCCGTCTTTAGAAAAGGTCCAATTTTTCAGACGCTGGCAAGCCGGGAAAAGGAATTTGTTTGAAACACCGGATTCAAATGCGGGGATTCGAACCCCGTCTAGATATTCAAGCGTGTATTATCAAAATAATGAATAAGGCCGAGCACCATACACCTAACAAAGGTCTAATTTTTTTAAATGCTAGCACGGAAAAAAAAGCTGAAATCAGCACATTCATTAAAACGCGGGGAGTCGAACCCCGGCTTCAAGTTGGGGTGATCGGCGGCATGATCGCGGGCATTTGAGAGCATTCTCGCGGGGAGTCAGCCATCACACTTCAGTGCATTTTGGCGCGCTCGGGGCGAGTAGGAGCTGGAAATAAAGCATTCTCTCTGAAATATGGAGCGATACTTAATGTCAATGGGGTATGAGCTCGACACCAAAAGCATGTACGAGGTCAATTGATCCGAAGCTCATGCCGCTGTGCCGAAGAGGAAGCCGGGCTCTCGGCGCACTCGAAACGCTGCCCATACACAATGTACCTGTCCGGAGAAACAAGTACATACCATTATTTGTGCTCGCAAGCCCTCACACTGACTGCACACGCTGTAAATTGGTGGCTGGCAACTCGGTAACTATTCCCGGCGGCATTTGGTGGCGGCCTTGACTCTCGGCGGCATTTCGAACTCCCAAACTTTCTTGATTTAGCTGTAACTAGGGTCCACTTGCCGCTTCTTCCCCGCCCCGGGAAACTCGTTACTTTCTCATCCATTGGTTTTTCGGCCGTTTCAATTTGGGGCCGCGCGCCAGCAATCCTCCTCCAGCGCGCGGTCTGGGATGCGCAATCTCCCTGGCGTCTGGAACACCACTGTGTTCCTCGTGGCCACGAAGATCCCTGGTTACCAGAATCAGAGTCCTGAGAAGTCTTAAAAACAGCCCTAACTCCGCCACACCAGTCATCATATACCTAATACGATCCTATTGGTCCTCAATGTTCTAAATACTTCCACACGCCCCCCTCTGGTAGGTAGGTAGGTAGGTAGCATTACACGGCACGGTCCCGCTGAGGAACGCCGGGGCCAGGAAGTATCCCAGTGTACTAGTTACAGGTTCTATGTACACCTTCGTCCCTGACTTCTGTATACCTTCTAAGCCGAGCTCACGAGTCAGTTACCTGCCCGCTGTAGAAATGCGCATCCCACGGATGAAGTTTCGTATCAAATATCTTCATATCTTAGTCAGGGTATAAGAGGAGGGTGTCGCGGGTGAAACTCGAAGCTCACCTCGCCTTTACACAGTTACTCCGCTTGCGACCTTTGGCCACAATGCCCTTCTCGGCGGCACAAACGTGAGTCTCGCCTCTGACTCTAATGATGGGTGTCGTTGACGTGCAACCCTTGTTGCTCAGGATGGTACCGATTGTATGCATGTTTACGCCTCACTTGGGATGCTAATAGTAATGTAATCGCTCATTCAAGTTGGTCGGGACTATCCTCAATTGGACGCTATTCGGCACTCTCTTTGTTCAAGTCTGCAAGTCACAACGTTACACAAAAATCTCGGTTCCAAGCTGATGCGACACCCCCACAGATCTGTACTTCATCGCATTTCCCGCAGACCGAAGGTTCACCAAGATTCTTGTGGCGTTCGTGTTCGCCGCGGAGATCCTGCAGACCATGACGGACGCCCGGAAAACTGTCGAGATCTTCGGAACTGGCTGGGGGAATCAGGACCTCTTGGATGACGTCAGTTGGGCCTGGTTCAGTGTCCCAGTTGTCGGTTCAACAAGTGAGCCCCGTTTCTATTCTTTCAAAACGGTTGCCCTTACATTTCTCCGTGACCTAGTCGCCGCTGTGGGCCAAAACTTCTTTGCATATCGTATTTATATCCTGTCCTCTAAGATCTGGATCCCAGGCATAATTGCAATAGTGACACTCTCTTCTTTCCTATCTAATTTCAAAACTGACCTCGCATTCCAGCTCACAATTGTGCAGATGGGTGCCGGAATATGGAGCGGCGTTCAGGTCTACAATGCACATAAATTCTCCGCAGTTAGAGACACACTGAAGACAACCGCTGTTCGTTGGGTTGTAAAAACGACAGTAATATACTAAATTGTGTATTCTTCAGGTTTGGCTGACTGTATCCGCCGCATGCGACCTGATAATTGTTGTTGCTACGGTGCTGTGCCTCGCCAAAGAAAGGGACCCGGAATTCCGACGTCAAACCAAGGTTACTATCTCGCGCATTATCAGGGTAAGTACCGGCCTCAGACAGACCACTCTGAGCGTTGATCAATGTTTTTTCAGCTCACAGTGGAGACGGGCGTCGTCTGCGCCATATTCGCCCTCTTGGACCTTGCCTTGCTCGCAAAATTCAAGAATAACTACCATTTGGCGGTGTGCATGCCGCTGTCCAAAATTTACTCGAACAGCATCATGGTGGTAAGTTGCAATAGCTTTTCTTCTTCTTCTCCCAATCACCGGCTGAATAAATTAAATCAACAGATCCTCAACTCTCGAGCCTACATTCAATCGAGCAAGCCCGACGATGCCAATGCCACCTGGAAGCTTTCAGGCATGGTTTTCCAAAGTGAGACCAAGCCTGCGTCTAGCGGCGAAATAGACACCGGCCTCGACACGGTCGGAACTTCCAGCGATGCGGGACACGAGAGGAACCAGTTTAATGTAAAACTCCCCGAGCAGTCTGCTTCATGTGTGTCTTCTTTAGGGCCCCAGGCTGTATGATTTTATACATAGGTAGCTGTAACTTATTTAAAGCCTCGTTTTTTCACCTCAGCCTTGGTATCCTATTAAAAATTCATGCTTGGCCAACAAGAGGAGGGAATGAAGTGCTCCAACTTAGTGCGGGGTCCACATCCTTAAACCATGAGGATAGCTGGAACCTATCGGCGTCCTGTTGTATTTCTATTTCGGGGAGGGACGTCGAAAATGCGTTGCTTAGCTAAGGATGAAAAGGCAGGAATTATGCGGTGTATCGTGCACGGCCTTGAATCATGTTAATTTGTCCATGTAGAAAGACAAGACGGGGCTCGATTCTCCGCGTTCGAATGGAGTCTCTCGCATTAAAACTGGGGCCTTGTCAAGGGGAGAAGAAAATAAAGAAACTACTCGAACGTCGTGAGCGGTGCATGGCTGTGAATCTGGTCAACAGCGGATAAAAATGGCCTGAGCCTCAAAAAACCAACATCGTCGAGGGCAGGTGTAGAGCAAGCAATCTAACGGTACATGGCCTTGAATATTCTGTTTGCATAGGAAATGAGGCAAATCGGGGTTCGACTCCCCGCGTCTGAATGAAAAGTCGTTCTTCAGATGCCGCTTATAAGATAATAATGTTGACAATTCCTGATCAGGCGTTATAAATATTTTGTACAAATTCAAGTATGACAGAAGAATTCGAACCCACAAATCTCACTCGCCACGTTCGCCTCATTAAGCTTGTCATTTTCACCCGACAAAGCGTCTATGTTCAATTGTACACCACGGTCGAGTTGGTATTTCACGACAGCGTAGACCAAAAAAATAAACCGAAGCCAATGGGGAATTTAGACAAATGAATGGATGGATGGATGCCGGGACCACAAAACGTCAAACCTAAAAGAAGAGGAAGTGAGATACATAACAGACGGATAGTTCGCTCTGAACCTCACCTCAACCTTCTCGGCGGCCATCTTTCAAGATAATGTAGACGGCCAAAGCGCATTCTCACACTAAGATATCTGCTCCTCAAGGAGGTTACTCCGTCGGGCCTATTAGTAATCCCGACTAATCCGTCGCGCCGTCAGCACGCGTGCGCCAGATCGGATGCGCCTGGTACGCGGCGCTCGCAGGGTCGAGCAGCGCCTTCACGCCCGGGTCCGCTGGGTCCGCGTACGTATCGTCCCACACGATCCTATTCAGCCGCGCCGCCCACTTGCTCGCGCGCTGCGCGTCCCCCAGGCGGATGTACGCCTCCACTAGCGCGCGCAGCGCTGCCGCGTGCAGCGGGAGGTGCTCCAGCCCCTCGCGCTCGAGCAGCGCGAGCTGCACGCGTGCCACGCGGAGCAGCCAGTCACGCGGGAGATAGTGATTGCGCATCCAGAGAGCCATGTGCGCGTGGAACGGCGATTGCGTGTCGTCAGGCAGGAGGCGCGCGCGGCGCGCGTCGGACGCGGCCACGTCGGTGCAGGAGGCGCACGTGCAGGTGAAGCGGAAGTTCTTGAGCTTGGCGTGGCGCTCCGCCGCGGGGCAGTCGAGGTACGTGTACGTGACCGTCAGCTCCTCGCCCGCAGCGATGTCGCGCACGGCGAAGAGGCGGTACGAGAACGAGGGCATGTAGAACTGGAGTGTGGCGTTGGGCGAGCAGCTGCGGGACGCCGTGAGCACGTGCCACGGAATGAAATGAATACGGGCCATGTACCTGTGGTTTGCGCGAGAGATGTTGTTGCACACCGCGGTGCACACGCCGTCGTCGCCCGGGCGCAGTCCATAGATGCCCATCCCGTTCGTGGCGAGTATTCCGTCGACGAGCCCGAACCCATCGTCCGTGTGGCTGTTCGCCAGCGCCATGAGCGCGGCCCTGCAGTCCGGGCGCATGCGCGCGACGCACAGCGCGTAGTGCCGCTCGCGCTCGTTCTTC